GGCAGCGACACTGCCGCCGGCACTACCAGGAACTGGCGTCGGCTCTCGGGGAGCTGACCCAGGCAGGAGGACACCATGCTGCGGTGGCATCTCCAAGCTGGTTTTGTGTCTGGGTGACTTTATAAGCAGCAACACCCCCCACCAACGACGACCAGAGCAGCAAGCGGCCAAACCCCGGGGCTCCGGAGAGCTCCCGCGGGGTGAGGAAAGCGGCTCCCACCCACGTGCAGGTCTGAATTCAGCAGCAGCAATTTCCCCCTGCCCTGGCACAGGGAGACAACTGCGGGCGAGAGGCACCGAGCGCTCATGGCCCAGCAAGAAGCCCCCACACAAAGCCTGTCCCCTCGGCCTGCCAAAGCTGGTGAGGGGGAAGGAGGGAGGGTGTCCCCGAGGACGGCTCTGCGGAGTGCGGTGACGGCGCCGTCCCTGGGGAGGGCAGGGACGAGGCAGCTCTGGGAGCGCAGATGAGAGCAGAGGGTGATCACACAACTCACATAAGCCAGTCTCAGACCCTGCGGGGCTGGAAGCCGGGCAGCACACGTGAACCGACACCGGGGGGTCTGGCTGCCCTCCCACACGGGCGGGCTGAGAGCCAGGGCCACAGCAGACAGGAACGGGGCCACAGCGCAGGGCCACGGGCTCCCCTGCAGCAGCGGCCCCTGCAGCCCTCCGGCACGTCACGGAGCACCTCCTGCTGCTCCGGGGCACCCAAGCTGGCTCGGACAGGCCTGATCCCTCTCACAGGGGCAACGTATCAGTCACCACTGACCAGGGATCCCTTCAGCTTGCAGGGCCCTGCAATAGCCCCAGAGGTATTCAAGGTCCCCGTGAGAAGGGGGAGACGACGTGGGCTAAGAGGGGACCCCTGAAGGCAGCAGGGAGGAAGCAGGGAATGGCTTCTTGCCACTGTCCTGCCCTCCCCGGGCAAAGCGTCGCAGCACAGGCGCCTGCGGCAGCAGGGAAGGTGCCATGCGGCTCACCCAGGCGAAGGTGATGCACGTGTGGTACATGGGCGAGGAAGGCGGGACGGAGGCTTTGTAGCGGTGCAGCATCACAAAGCTGGCGAGGCCATTGAGGAAGGAGGCGAAGGCAGACGCGGGCTCCTGGAAGAACAGGAAGCGAGAGAAGGGCCACTAGAACAAAAAAGAGGAGGGAGACGGACGACAGAGACGTTAGCGGTGTGGATCGCACTATTCCGCTGGCCACGGCTCTCAGCAGCTGCTGGCACAGGCCTCGC